AGAGAGAGAGGGAGGGAGAGAGAGAGAGAGAGAGAGAGAGAGAGAGAGTACATAATTAAGTAAGTATATGTTCACGTACATCGAAACATGAGAAAATAAAGGAAGAGAAAGAGCAAGTGAGTAAGCAGGTACGAGAAATACATGTACATGTGCATGTACATGTAGAGATGCGTAGCGTCGCAAAGCAAACAAAAAATAAATAAAAGCAACACAACAAGTCTCACTTTGCACTCTCTTCGTAGTTTTAAGCTCGGCTATCTTCTTTGCCAAGGCTTGGTTTAAAATCCTAACGATGTGAATATGGACTTTCATCCTTTTCAAGGCACCAACGAAAACGTCGTATGGATGTTCTCCCTTTCTACCACAACGTCCACTGATGGTATCGATAAAGACATTAGCCTTTTCCATGCTTGTAACTTGTGCCTTTATAGTCTCGCAATCTGTTCTGTCAAGGATCTCCTTCGCTTTGAAACTAGCGAAGTATCTGCCCGGGTCGCCTAGCTGGCTGCTTATCTCGTAAATGTTCTCTTTCAGGACGTCGTTCTTGAGTGCAGCGAGGTCTTTCTCGGTTATAGTTACGTCTTCTTCGTCGGCTGACATGATTTTAAGAGAAGCACGCTAGCCCTTGTGAGTAGGATGGGGAAATTACGCTGGCGTGACGGAGTGTAGATCTACAAGTCTTAATGCCCTGGTGAGTTACAGCAGTCAGATAAAGAAAGCGTTTTGTTTATGGTGTCTACCAGAAGAGGAAAGGAGAGATCAGAAGCGAGTGATGATAAAAGAGAAACGAAATTGAGTGAGCCAGTGAGTCTCTTTTCAGTCTTGGGCGTTAACTTAAATAACCTCATTAACATTAACAATGACGTAATTATTATTGGTGTAGGAGGTGCTAAAATTCCTTGACTATTAATTAAATTTTTGCAAATTTCATTTTAGAGCTGAAACTTTTGCTAGAATATTATAAGTCGATGCATGATTCTTTTCCACAATAAAAAATACTTGTTTTTAATTTCCATGTTCCTGCATGATTTAAGACTAAGTTAGCAATAAATAGTTTTTTAGTTTAATACATTAAAATAAAACTGGCCCAGGTTGGCTGAGATTTTGATGCATTTGAAGAATGAAAGTACTTTTACCACAACAAAATAGGTTTCTACCCAGGATTACATCATTATGAATCACAGGTATAAATGCAACTGATATATATATAATGGAAGTATTATATCATAGTTTCTGTCCTAAGTGAAAGTCAACATGAGATCAAAGACCCTGTGGTCATCTTGTGGTATTATTGGTTGCAATAAATACAGCTCAGACTGGCCTCAGTTTCTAAGTTCTTTGTGCTTTTAGCTCTGCAGTCTGCACTGCTGTTGACACTGAAATGTGAAGATGTGACAAAGAGGAACTTAATTTAGACCTAGGGCCTATTAAAGCTATGGCTGTGATCAAGAGTGGATTATCCATTCTTGCTTTGACATAGAGAGCTGCATTTTAAAAAATTGATTTAGCATTTTAGAAAATAATAGTCAACATTATCACTTCACAGCCAAGTTTTTTTTATAGTGTTATCAAAATTAATGGTTTAGGTTATTGTTAAAAGTTAACAAACAAGCTCATGGTCACGTGACACGTGACTAATTAAAGGAGTGGTTTGTTTTGTAGCCACGCCCACTCAGAGCTTCCGGTCCAGCAAGAGAAAATGTCAGCAGTGTTGGCCATTTCTCTGAATTAAGGCAGTCCTCCCTCCCCTAGCAGTCGCCCGGAGAATTCCCAGAAGTGCCCCCAATAGACTCAGAGGGAAAAACGAAGGAGAAAGGGACTAGGAGTCTCCCCCTCTCACACAAAACGCTCACCGTATACCCGTCCCCGTCACTCCTGGATAAAGATGGCTACCGTTGAGACTGTTGATTGGAGACAAGCGAGACAATGGCTAATAGACAGTGGTGTCATCCCTCCCACTCACAGGGTCACTAAACCAGACGTCGCTCTAGTTGATTTTGCTCGGTCCCTTCGTGATGGAGTCTTTCTCTGCTCGCTTTTGAACCGACTCCAGCAAGGCTCTGTCGACTTTACAGCCAGACCGGTCATGCAGGTATGTATAACTCGTTTGACGAGTTTTAGGGCGTGGTCGGTATAGGAGCAGGTGTGGTAGCTGAGTTGTACATGTACATGTATGCATGTGTTTCATTTGGTTATGTAATGAAGGTATTTTTATGACATTTTTTGAATTACAAATACATGATCTACATGTTCTATCTTTTGTCACTTTGTCATTATTTAATGTTCTATTTTTATTTAATTTTTTCCTTCATTCGATTCAACTTTAATCATCTTACTTTCTCCTTCACGAATCATTCCTGATTCTCTCTCTCTTTCTCTCTCTCTCTCTCTCTCTCTCTCTCCCCCCCCCCTCTTATTTACTCTACTCTTTGGTAGACATTGTGCTTTTAATACACGCACACTTACTCTGGCTCACTCACTCTTTCCCTTCGTGTTTTCTTTACAGTTTGTATACAATTTGTGAATAGTCCTTTACAGAATTTGTATATTTAAGACAATTATCCTTTATATTCCCTTTCTTTCCTTCTCTCTTTCCCTTTCTCTCTCTCTCTCCTCCTCCTCTTGTAACCATTACCAGTGTACCACTTTTACCACTGTTAGATCCAGAGCGAGTTTAGTAGACTCTTAGTCCCCCAAATTTGATTCAGATCTCCTAAAATCTCTCATTTTTCGCTTTTAGTCTCTCATATTCAGCCTATTAAGTCTCCATTTTAACTAGATTGGGTGTCCTAAAAATTATTTCTAGATACCGGTAGCATGGCGATGTCAGTAACCATGTCTCTAACCTTATTCCTGTCTTGTTTTTCCTCCCTATTGTTCGGTGTCCCTACAATGTTTATGTACAAGATGTACATTTACATGAACAGTCTGGACACGATTTCCGTCAGCTCTAATTTCTTGTTGCATTTCTGGACGTCTTTATTTGTTTGTTTATTTGTTTGTTTGTATTTTTCTTGTTCCATGCATTTTTGTACTGGGAAATTGCTTGGTGGAAGGAAAAAGGGGAAATATTTTTAATGTTAATTAGTATGTACTAATGGTATTAGCATTATTTCTTAATTAACATTACATGTGTACACATATGTACATGTACATGTACATGTACATGTACATGTACATGTACATGTACATGTACATGAATAAATGTATTTAGGAAAACTTGGGTGATTGATGAAAGTATTTATGTCTATAATTATGCTTGTGAATTCGGACAAAAGAATTCTTGAAATGTATTTCTTAACTGTATCATATTCTCGTATCATGTACAGTACGTGTACATGTACATTGTGTATCTGTGTGACTGATATTGCGTATCATATTTTATTTCTCACACACACACAATGAATGCAATATGGGGGAGGATAATTAATTCTTTCTCTCTCTCTCTCTCTCTCTCTCTCTCTCTCTCTCTCTCTCTCTCTCTCTCTCTCTCTCTCTCTCTCTCTCTCTCTCTCTCTCTGTCCCCCCCTCTCTCTTTCTCTCTGTCCCCCCCTCTCTCTCTCTCTCTTTCCCCCCCCCCTCTCTCTCTCTCTCTCTCCCTCCCTCCCCCTCTCCCTCCAGCACTCTTATATTAAAAATATCAATGCATTCTTATTTGCTTGCAAGCATCACTTCAATCTCAAAGACAACGATCTCTTTACTGACTCTGAGCTTTACGACGTCGACAATTTCTCAAAGGTAAGGGAGGGAGTGGCTTGTCCCTGACCACGCCCCCAATTAAAACTCATTTATTAGGTCATGCTTGCGCTATCAAAGCTGTCTCACACTCAGCAAGCATTGGCTATGGGATGGAAGTGAGTGATGATGTCTAAAAATAGCATCTGTTACTATAAATATCATACGTGTAATAGCTCCAAATTTTTTTCAGTCAAAAATTTTGTCAAAATCTTAATTTCTTGTTAAAATTAATTTTTGCTGATAAAGTTTATTGTCATTATTAATCTGCAAACTAACCATGTGGAGCACAAATTTTGTTGGTTTAACATTTCATCAGGCAAGAATTTGACAAAGTTTTTAACCGACGAAAATTTGGAGTTATACAGTAGTATAGATACATTGTATCAAGAGTACATAATACTTAAAGAGAGTATCCAACAGCCCTATAGCAGACTGCTGCCTGAGGGCGTATTTGCTCAAAGTCACAATCCGCATACTCCAGTATACTACATGTACATATCACGTGATCAACCATGTGGCAACATTAACTGGCCCTTAGCTTTTAAAAACTTGGCAATCTCTTCCAATAACTTGAAAGAAGGCTGGAAAGATGAACTACAAAGGCAGCCCTGCTAGTATCCAGGAGTTTGTGCCCCAAGCACATGCCAACTCATGACAATGGCAAATCAAGGTCTACGCGATAATTATATTCATTGATAAAGTATACTGGAGTATGCGGATTGTGACTTTGAGCAAATACGCCCTCATGCAGCAGCTTGTATAGGGTCGTTCGATACTCTCTTTAAGTATTATGTACTCTTGATTGTATGTACATGTAGTTCAAATTTTACTACTGAATACTATAATCAGACTATTGTTACTTTTAATGCATATACAATGTACATGTATTTACGTATTATGTTATGCGTAATTCAAATCATTATACCAAGTTACATAATACGTGTATTAGTGTAGTCTAGTTGTCGTTACTATAATTAGACTTGGTCGTTACTATTTTTAGACCGTTCCCGAACGAAGATGATAATAAGTTACATTACAATGACGTAAGCGGAGATGATATCTATGCGTCGCTGCAGGAAGTATCAGCGTAAGTTGATTGATTTCGATATTTGGAAATAATTATACGACTGCTTTGTGTGGTTGGAAAATTATTAATGTGTTAATGTACTACATCTACACTTTTCTTTCTGTCTCTGTCTTTGTCCCCCCCCTCTCTCTCTCTCTCTCTTTGTCTCTCTCTCTCTCTCCCCCCCTCTCTCTCTCTCTCTCTCCTACAGTCAAACTGCAGTTTATGCTAATATTCAAGATCTCTATCCCCAGTCACCAGCTGATGACGATTCTTACGGCTATGGAAGTGAAAAGATTTACGATTCAGTCTGTTACTATGAAGCAACTGTGAGTCACATGATAGTCACATGATAATCACATGACTTACCTCTCATTGATTCTCTCTTGTTTTCTTTCTGGCAGCCGGTGAAAGAGAATGACTACATTGAAAAGAAGAAGTCCATCATTACTGAGCTTTATGAGACAGAGAAAAGCTTTTTATCTGTTCTTCAGACCATTGCAGTGGTATGTCTGTTTATAAATGTACTTCTTGATCCACTCTCTCTTTGTTTTTCTTTCCCTGCTCCTCTTTCCCTTTTCTCTCTTTCTTCCTTCTTTCTTCCTCCTCTCTCTCTCCTCCTTGATTTTTATCTTTCCCCCTCCAATTTCCTCCCTCTCTCTCTCTCCCCCTCTCTCTCTCCCTTACTCTCCCCCCTCTCTCTCTCTTTCTCTTCCCCCTTAGGATTATTACGAAACTCTTAAGGAGCAAAGTCTTGAAGAACTTAAACAGATATTCGAGTTGAGTCAAAGGATCCTCCCCTACCACCTCTCCCTTCGTGATGGCCTCTCCCAGTGTCTCGAAAGCAAAGCAGAAGACGTTAGCAAACTATTCCTTGAAGCTGTGAGTTGTACTATATAGCTGTATGCTATGAAAAGTTGAATACTTATAAGTGCATGTACATACATATACCTAATACATGTACATGTACATGTACCTAATACGTGTACATGTACATGTACATGTACATACATTAATTAATTACATGCATGTACATATTAATGTGATGAGCTCATTTTGAAATTTTGTCTTGTTTTTAGGAAGAAGGCTTGTTGCTGTATGGTATGTATGCAGCTCATTTGCCAGAGGGACAAGAAAGAGTTAGTTGCATCTTTGTATTGTCTGGATTTTTTTGCATGAAAAGGAAAAGTTGGGTCAAAGATCCTGATCTTAGGATTAGGATAGCCCATGGTTTTTTTCCGAAAAATGGCTCCAAAATGACCCCCAATTTTTATTGCATTTTCTGATACATATTGATGTACTTATGCTGCATAGAAAGTTTGAGCTGATTCTGACTTAAATTTTTAAAGTTACGTCCATTTTAAGAAAATCTCAAAATTTTGAAAAATACCAACGCTATAGCTCATGGTTTTTTTCCGAAAAATGGCTCTGAAATGACCCTCAATTTTTATTACATTTTCTGATACATATTGGTGTCCTTATGCAGTGTAGAAAGTTTGAGCTGATTCCGACTTTAATTTTTCAAGTTATGACCATTTTTAAAAACGGGCCAATTTCTGAAAAAATCCCTGTACTATAGCCCATGGTTTTTTGTGAAAAATGGCTCCAAAATTACGCCCAATTTTTATTGCATTTTCTGATACATATTGATGTACTTATAATGCATAGAAAGTTTGAGCTGATTTCGACTTAAATTTTTTAAGTTACGTCGATTTTAAGAAAATCTCAAAATTTTGAAAAATACCCAAGGCTATAGCCCATGGTTTTTTCCAAAAAATGGCTCCGAAATGATCCCCAATTTTTATTACATTTTTTGATACATATTGCTGTACTTATGCTGTATAGAAAGTTTGAGCTGATTCCGGCTTAAATTTTTTCAGTTATGAGCATTTTTATAAAATAGCAAATTGTTTTTTTCTGAAAATTTTCCTTGAAAAACGAAATGCTTTAGGATGTAAAAATAACACTCTAAAAATTTGATAAAACCTGCTATGCAAAAAATAGAGTTCTCCAATTTTGATATTAATCAAGATTATAATCCAAATCTTAATTTATTATTAATTTTATTATATTAATATTTGTTCCTAGGCTAAATTCTTCCAGGCTAAGGGCGAGACCAGTAAACTAATGCAGGCGACAATGGAGAAGCATCAGCAGAGATTCCCCTTGAGTGACCTCCTACCAGTTCCTATTCAAAGACTGTTAAGATATCCTCTACTCATTAAAGAACTTGAGAAATGTACCAAGAAAAGTGGAGCCGGCTCTAGCACAAAATTAAATAAAGTTATTCAAACTCTAGAGGTTGGTACTAATTACTATAGAAGCGGAATATTTTACTGCCTTTATCATTTAATTTTTAAATTTCTATGTGATTTAAATTTTACGGTTAACACGTGAGCTACTGTAGTATAAATTAATATAACTAACTAGTGTTTATTTACTTTTCTCTTTTATCGTAAAATTAAAGTCACCTTAAATATTCCACTTTTACAGTAATTAATGTTGTAATTATGATTAATTATATTAATTAATACTCTCCCCCTTTATCTCTCAATATCTCTCTTTGTTGTTTTGTTGACTTAATTATTTGTTTGTTTGTTTGTTTGTTTGTTTGTTTGTTTGTTTGTTTGTAGGATGTGTCCAAGTATATTAATGTAACGAAGGAGCACTTTGAGAAGATGAGAGCCATACAAGAACTGGAGTGCACCATTGTGGACTATAGAGTGAGTTCATCTCCTTCATGTACACAATATTCCTTCTCAAAAAAATTAGCAATTTTTAAACTAGAAGGGTAATAAAAATCTGCATGTATATTCACTATGATAAAATTGATGGCATTTTATTCAACAAAAGAATTGCTGAATGTAACAGATACAGTAGATGTATTTGCATTTAAAGTTCTGTATTAATATACATGTACATGTATGTGTACATGTACTTATTATGCCCCTCCCCTTTCTCCTCCCATTCCTTTACACAGGGACCCAAGCTAAGCGGAGAGTGTGGTCACTATCACATGGACGGTGAATTAAAAATGCTCAAACTAGTTGATGGCCAGAGAGAAGAACCTCGAAGCAGGTAAGTACATGTATAATTGTACATATCCACTTTTACACCATTCTACCTAAACCTGTTTGACTAGATGGGTGTTCCTGTTTGACAAGGTTTTGATCATAACTCACAGAAGGTTTAGGTTTCTTGGAGGCATATCTTACTCTGTGAAGGATCATCACGACATTGGGGACATCACATTAGACTCCATATCATCAACTAGAGCTAGAGTGAGGGAGGGGGAGGGAGTGAGGGGAAGGGAGGGAGAGAGAGGGGGGGAGGGAGGGAGAGAGAGAGGAAGGCAGGGAGGGAGAAGAGAGTAAAGTCAAGATAAAAATTGTTTTATCATTTTATATTACATACATGTAAATGTATATATTTTTAGAATGCGGCTCATTCTTTTAAAATAAGAGTTGAAAAAGATGGTGGCAAGGGTAAGTAGAGAGTATACAAAAATATTTTTATTATGTTTGTTTGTTTGTTTGTTTGTTTGTTACTATTTTTAGAAGCAATTGAATACATTGCTTATGCCAAAAATGATCAATTGAAATTTAAGTGGACCGACTCGATAAAAAAAGCAAAGTAATAAAAATTCATCATCATCATTATTATTGTTGTTATATTTTATGCTTATTTTTTAGAGATGTAATTAGACCAAAGGGTGGAAAAAAAGGTATTATAGTCACTATACCCTAAACTCATTCCCATACTTGATATTTCCATTTCTGTTCACTAAAGTCATTCCCATACCATTCCTATTCCAGGTCATCATAGTTTTGAACTGGTTAATTTTGACTGTCCATCGAAATGTAGTTACTGTCAGAAATACTTGTATGGGTGCTATTTTCAAGGCTACAAGTGTATAGGTAATTAAAATAAATAAATAAATGATAATAATAATTCATTAATTAATGAACGTTTTAAATATTTAATCAAGTGCAATTATTAAATAATGTAATTATACTTTTTTTAGTTCCGGATTGCAAGGTGATATCACACGGAGATTGCATTGAAAAGCAACCGCCTTGTAATAAAGCCTTTCGTAAGTGGGTGTGGTTTGGGTGTGGCTTGATATTTCTTATACAGGTCCACCATTGCCAACTCAACTTAGTCATCCACCATTGCCAACTCAACATAGCCATCCGGTAAGTAAACTTTCTTTTCTTTTTTTATGCTTCATGTACATGTGTATATCACATCGATTTACTGACTACATCACATTTGGAGCAACTTTTAAATTCATATAAAATCCAAATTTGATTGGAATCGGCTGAAACTTTTTACACAGCATAAGAACATGTATATGTATCAGAAAAAATATATAAAAATGGAGAATTCTCTCCTTTTTATTTTTGCCAAAGTTTGGCCAAAAACCCTGTACTACAGTACAGGGTCTTTGACCCAATTTAAAATTATAAAACTAGTATCATTAGTTTTAAAACATAGCACTAGCACTTAAATGTAAAGTACTTTTTTAAAATGAATCAGTAGCACCTGCTAATCGAAGACATGAAATGGCAGTATAGCACCATTACCCTCTCTCCTTTTCTCTCTCTCTCCTCTCCAGCCTCTCGCTTCTCATGGCAGTATTGATACTCCCGGGGGCCCAAGATTTGGCCCAGTACCATCAAGAAGACCCAATGGAGAGCCACCAGGCCAACGTAAGTTAAATAATTATAATTAGTAATGATCCTTCTTTGTGTCCTCTTTATTTTAGGACAAGTATATGTTGCTACACAAAAGTAAGTATTTGGTATTTTTGTTGTTGTTGTTATTGTTTTTTTGTTTAGATATAATGCAATTGGTCCAAGACGAGAAACGTTCCTTTCCTTCGAGAGAGGAGATGAGATTATCATAAAGGAGAAAGACCATGAGTGGTGGGAGGTAGGGACAACCACCACTGGAGACTGACTCAGTTACTCACCACACACACTCTCTCTCCCTCTCTCTCTCTTTCTCCCCTCTCTCTCTCTCTCTCCTTTTAGGGTGTTGTCTTAAGAACAGGCCAAAGAGGTTATGTTTCGCCAAATTATTTAAAACCCCAAGTGAGTGGGCGGAGCAATAGCTGCAGTACATGTATTAATGTCTCGTTAAAATCACGAAATTATCTTATCCCCACTTCCTATTTTTATTCCATTTTTGCTCTGTAAAAAAATCGAGCTGAAGTTAGTCCAAGTTACAACATGTACATACCATACCATACAAGGTGATTTATTAGCGAGGAATTAATATTAACGATCGGCGGTTCTATGAAGAAATCACCAATATAAAATCTGCCAATTACAGGCAAATTTTCTACAGGCAAATTTGCCAAATATTACTCCTGCCAATAAATCATCTTGTGCAGTGACCATTAATCCCAATTCTCAATTTTTATTTTATTTTTTGCTCCATAAAAATTGAGCTGATTTCAATCACAACTGTCTGAGCTACAACTTTTACGTCTTTGTTTGTATATACGCACATTTATATATTATTATTTCAGGGCCCACCCCAACCCTCACCTGAAGATCTGCTAGTACAAATGAGACGAAAACTCTCAGAATATTCATGGTACCCATTATATACTACATGAGCTATACATTTATATGTACATGTACATGTACATGTACCTTTAGTACATTAGATTCAACTGCTACTTTATTTCACAGTATAAGCTGTTACTTGATTGACTTACATGTACATGTACATGTACATATACATTCTTTTGTAACCCTCTCTTACTCTCTCTCTCTTTCTCCTCTCTCTCCCTAGGTACATTGGTATGAGAACTCGTATCGATGCTGAGGTAGCACTCCACAGATCCAGAGATGGGGTATTCCTTATAAGGGAAAGCATGGATAGACCAGGAGAATATGCTGTAGCATTAAAGTACATACAATCATATAATAAGTGTATTTATGATCAGGAATGATACACATGTATGTACAGTACATGTACATATTAAAGTAGTAATACAGTATAACCTGCTATTGTGGACACTCTAAAATAAGGACACCTCTATAATGAGGACAGGTAGTATCAGTCCCAATACAATAGTAATGTGTATTAATGAACCTCTAAAATAAGGACACCTCTATAATCAGGACAGTTTTATTAGGTCCCAAGGTGTCCGGAATAGACAGGTTTGATTGTATTGTTATGCACAAAATATATGTACATGTACATACATGTATGTACTTGAATTATGCATACACATACTAAATATATTTATGTACTTTTTTATTCATAGAGTAGTTGATTGATGTACATGTACATGTACCTTTCTTCTCCCCTTTCTAGGTGGAGTGGGATGCCCAAGCACATCAAGATAATGAGAAACCCTCAAACCGAAAGGTTCTACGTCTCAGACGCCTGTGACTTTGACTCAATCGAAGAACTTGTCGACTATTATCAAAAGAACACTCTAGGCGTGAGCTTCCCTGGAGTGGACACTACTCTTCGTATTGCGTACTCTGAAGCCGCAAGACATCACTCTGTCTCTGGTTCCTCCAGTAGTTCCTTGTTAATGATGTCTCCGCCTCCTTTTGGTCGAGACGGGGGGATTTGGGTCGAGGCTGTGTATGATTATGATGCGGAAGGCCCTGGATTTTTATCTTTTCATGTAAAGAGAATTATTATGATATTTGTTATATTATGATTTAGTTCCTTGTTATTATTATTATTCTGCTTTTTTTGTTTTTCTCTAGAAACACGATCACATTAAAGTAGTTACTAAAGATACTCAGAGACTAGGCCTGTGGCTTGGAGAATTTAATGGGAAAGTATGTCACATGATTATAGTATTCATGTATAATTCTCTTTTTTTCTCCCTCTCTCCCTCTCCTTCTCCCTCTCTCTCTGTCTCTGTCTCTCTTTTTCTCTCCCTCTCTCTTTCACTCTTGTTCTTTCCCTCTCTCTCTCTCTCTCTTTCCAGACTGGATTATTTAGATCTGATCATACAGTGCCTCTTAACTAGGAGCCAGAGTTTAATTAACTGTTTTAATGTTAATAATAATAACCACACATGTTTACGCTCTTCCACAAAATTCGCACTTCATTATATTTTCTGTTTAGCAACAATTTGAATTCGATTATTGTGTTTCTGTATGTATTACGAATTGTTTTTTGTGTTGTTTTCCCTCTCTTTCTTTCTACGTCTTTTTCTACTTTCTTTTACACAAAATGTAATGGCTAATAATTTTAGTTTTATTTATGATTTTAAAAAATATTAACAATAATGAATAAATGATCATAAAAGTGCTATAACAGTGCGTGCTTCTTGAAGCATGAATTTGTTAAGTTTTGTGCTTAATGTAATGATAGAGGACAGCTCAAAGACAGCTAAATGAAACTGAAATTCCATTTAAATTGCATTAGCTGAGCTGGCTATTCCAGTTTGGATGCAATGAGGAATGCTCTAATGCTTTATCAATACATAATCTGCAGAATATGTTATATTAAAACTACAGCATTTATGTGCAAGCTAAGAGCCGAAAAATAGACTTAAGGTTATGTTTGTTACAGGTTCTACTCTAATTATGCATGGTTGCCAATCTATTGGCTCTTGTAATGGACTAAGAATGAGAGTGCAAAGTATAATGTTGCAGATTCATTTTTTGTGACTCTGACCAATCAAATCGCTCCACGTGACCACACCCCTGGGTCAGACTGACGTAAACAGGAAACAAAATTCTCGAACCAACCAAAAGGCTCCAGCGAGAATGAAAAGGCGGGGCTCATTATTCTGACCAATCAGATGTCTCCACATAGGAGAATTGCCCGCCATATTCCGCGGGACGCACTAATAAAAAGCAGCTAAGAGAATTAGGAAGACTGAATTCAAATCGACATTCAAGACAAGTCCAACAATAGGAAGGAGTCTTAAAGACGAAAAAGAGAGAGATGAAGTTACTTTTCAGAATTTTTCTAGTAGCCATTTGTCTCCTCCACTCTATCACTTGTGACGAGAAGAGTGAGAAGAAAGAGGAGACAGGAACTGTAATTGGAATAGATTTAGGGACGACTTACTCATGGTAAGGACTCATTCCTTATTTCTCCCTCCAGCAATATAATAGAATAATACAAATTACCTCTAAAACTTATTTTTAATTTTTAAATGTAAATGCAGCTGCTAATATCACTGCTTTTAGCTTTGCCTTTTTTGAAATCATTATCGTGTACATAATAATAATATTGTTATATAATTTTTTAAATTTATTTTTTAGTGTTGGTGTATACAAGAATGGTCGCGTTGAGATCATCGCCAATGACCAGGGTAACCGTATCACCCCATCCTACGTAGCCTTTACTGGCGAGGGAGAGAGACTCATCGGAGACGCAGCAAAGAACCAACTGACAACAAACCCAGAGAACACTGTGTTTGACGCCAAGAGGTTGATCGGGCGTTCGTGGAAGGACCCAACTGTCCAGAAGGACATCAAGTACTGGCCTTTCACGACTAAGAACAGGAATGAGAAACCTCACGTTGAGATTGATGTTAAAGGAGAGAAGAAACTTTTCGCAGCTGAGGAGATCTCGGCCATGGTCTTGGTTAAGATGAAGGTAAGAGAGAGAATGAACATTAAAGATTAATTTAAAATGTTGCATTTATATAAGCAGCTGTAATAATGTACATGTATGTATATATGCTAATTGAGTGTATTAAGTGACATGGATTAATGGAATTATAAAATAATTATAAGTACATGTAATTAGCTAAACTTACACTATTACACATAATTCATTTCAATTATAATAATACAATTTTATTAATTATTTCTATTTTTTCCTGTTGTCTGATGTAGGAGACAGCTGAAGCTTATCTTGGTACTCCTGTCACCCATGCTGTGGTTACTGTCCCTGCTTATTTCAATGATGCTCAGAGACAAGCGACCAAAGACGCCGGAGCCATTGCTGGACTCAATGTTATGAGAATCATCAATGAACCGTAAGTTGTACTAATATTAATAATGTGTATTTGAATCTGTTTAATTTATTGTCATTTTTGGTAATTTTTTCTGCGTCTTATTTCCTTTTACACTGCTATGTAATATCTATTTATTTAATTTAATTTAAGAATATCTTATTATTTATTTATTTATTTTACTTATTTTATTCTTTATTCTTTTCTCTACAGGACAGCGGCTGCAATTGCTTACGGGCTGGACAAGAAAGAGGGAGAGAAGAACATTCTTGTGTTTGATTTGGGAGGAGGAACTTTTGACGTCTCACTCCTCACAATTGATAACGGAGTCTTTGAAGTTGTAGCAACCAACGGTGACACTCATCTTGGTAAGAAAAGAGAGGATTATTTTATAAAAAGACACGTAATTTTATTGTCATACATGTATATTATTATTTATTTGTTTTGCAGGTGGTGAGGATTTCGATCAGAGAGTGATGGAGCATTTCATAAAGCTATTCAAAAAGAAACACGGAAAGGATATTCGTGGCGACAACAGAGCCGTCCAGAAGCTAAGACGAGAGGTAGAGAAGGCTAAGAGAACCCTCAGCTCACAGCATCAGACAAGAATCGAGATTGAATCACTTTATGGAGGAGAGGACTTCTCTGAGACACTCACCAGAGCAAGATTCGAGGAATTGAATATGGTAAGGACATACAATGTACAGTAATTGCTATTGATAAATTTAAAAGGATAATAGTACTAATAGTTGTATACTTAATAATGATGTCTGCTACATTAGTACATGTACATAAATTGAATATGGTAAGGATATACAGTCAAACCTGTCTATTCTGGACACCTGGTACCCAATAATACCCTCCTGATTATGAACCTGTCCTTATTTCAGAGGTTCATTAATACACATTACTATTGTATTGGGACTGATACTACCTGTCCTCATTATAGAGGTGTCCTTATTTTAGAGTGTCCACAGTAGCAGGCTATACTGTGCATGTAATTGTTATAAGTTAAAAGGATAATAGTACTAGTGACAATAGTGGTAGTAATAATAATGTCTGCTACATAAGTACATGTACATTAACCTTGTATTATATTTGTATGTATTGTATTACTTTTTGTCTCTCCTCTCTCTCTCTCTCTCTCTCTCTCTTATTTCTCAGGATTTATTCAGATCCACTCTCAAACCAGTACAACAAGTTATCGAGGACTCTGAAATCGAAAAAAATAAAATCGACGAGATCGTTCTGGTCGGGGGATCCACCCGTATCCCCAAGGTCCAGCAACTCGTCAAGGACTTCTTCAACGGCAAAGAACCAAACCGCGGTATCAACCCTGACGAGGCCGTGGCTTATGGAGCTGCCGTTCAAGCCGGTATCCTAAGCGGAGAATCTAATACAGACGGTCTCCTCCTCCTCGACGTTAACCCTCTTACCCTTGGGATTGAGACAGTGGGCGGAGTCATGACAAAACTGATCCCCCGTAACACAGTGATCCCGACTAAGAAGTCACAGATATTCTCAACTGCTTCTGATAACCAGCCAACCGTAACGATACAGGTATTCGAGGGTGAAAGGCCCATGACGAAAGACAATCATCTTCTCGGAAAGTTTGATCTCAACGGAATCCCACCTGCTCCAAGGGGGGTACCCCAAATCGAAGTCACTTTTCAAATTGATGAAAACGGTATCCTAATCGTGACCGCCGAAGACAAGGGAAGCGGTAATTCCGAAGCTATCACCATCACCAACGACCAGAACAGGCTCACACCCGAAGACATTGAACGCATGATCAACGACGCTGAGAAATTCGCCGACGAAGACAAGAAAGTGAAAGATCGGGTCGAGAGCAAGAACGAGCTTGAGAGCTACGCCTACTCGTTAAAGAACCAGCTCAAAGACGAAGAGAAACTCGGAGGAAAGCTATCGGAAGAAGACAAGACGACAATCACTGAGGCAGTAGACGCCGCCATTGAATGGCTGGACAGTAATTCGGAGGCCGAGACGGAAGAGTTTAAATCAAAGAAGGAGGAGCTAGAGGGTGTGGTCAATCCTATTATCACGAAGCTCTATGGCAACCAGCCCCCGCCCAGCGGAGAGGGAGCAGATGGAGGTGATGGAGGAGCAGACGAAAAAGACGAATTATAAACTTAGAACAATTATTATTAGTAGTCAATTATTGTTTAATACATTATTATTATACATGCAGCCTTTTTAATTATTAACTTGGTTGTAATCTTTATCATTCATTGATTTAAAAAAAAAAGAATAACATTATCATGTATTAGAAAAAACTGAAGCACTTTTGTAACACCCATATCTAACAATAACAACATAATAACAATAATAATGTAATGCCCTGTGTCATGCCATAAATGCTGCCCTTTTCCATCACTCCACTTGGATCATTGCGTGTTCCGTAAATCCCTCCCCCATACTACACGGCCAAGAATTATCATCTCTGATACAGCCCACTACCCAAAATCAATGATTCAAGCCTGATGTCTATTTTGATACAGCCCTGACTGGCATCAATGTTGAATCATGTCTGTTGCTCTGGCTGTGTGGCTGAACCAGGGCCGTACTCCAGCATGGTTGTATCATGGATGATTATCATGATTGTATCATACTAGACTCATTGCTTTGCAGGCTGCCCAAAATTCATGATACAGGAATGTATCAAGGCTGATCCTGATTGATATCAGTCATGATTCAAAGTAAAATTCTTGGCTGTGTATGTGCATATGCATAATACAGTTTACGGATCATGCAAGTGGAGTGAAAAGCGCAGTTCCACCTTATACTGGTATCTTTGGCGGTGCCCCATCATAGAAAAAAAGGGTATTTCATTTACTCTATAATTTATGCCATAATTTTAAAAAAATATGATTAAAAAAAAATATGATGAGGATCTTCAAGGGTAAATAGGGCCATGTGAGCACTGGCGTTTGATTGGTGCATCTATAGTCCAATCAAGACAGGACACGTTTTTTAGTAAGCAATGTACGATAATAATCATAGATAATGATTTTACTCTAATATCTATGATAATACGCAGGCCTGGCCCGGTGGCCCCGGGGGCTCAGCCCCACAGATTTGAACAGAATTATCTAGCTATAGCATAAGATATTGCAGGCACACGTTGCAATATGCAACATGCAAAAGCAATTATGGCTATTATGGCATCTGTAATAGCAAGAGTAGAATTATTATCTACTCTTGGTAATAGCTATTATGGCATCTCGATCTCGCGGGGCCAGACCACTCCCTCCGTTCTTGTGAGGTCCCGGGAGCGGGGTTGTTGTGAAGCCACATCCCAAGTCACATGATCACTTTGATCAAACTCCCAAGAGAATACCGTACGCGTCTTAATTTTCGAGGTGTATTAAATTTCGTTATTTTCGTGCTCACCTTAAATCCACGAAATTTAAAACACCTCTAATGCCATTCTATTGTATGTAGACTATGGCCAGAACACGAAAATTAGCTCACACGAATATTAACTTTTGAGCAAATTTCATTGAAAACACGAAATTTTGAACCCTCGAAAATTTGGACGTATACGGTATATAAGTACGAACGTACGATTCTAGGGACCACAAAGAGTCAAAGACTCCATCCACACTCCAGACAAAATTCCAGAGTAGAGTAATTTGATATCGGTAGGCTTTAACTGAATTTTGGTTATTAGATCTAAATACATTTGGACAATGAGTTGTTTATTTGTTTTGTCTTTCACGCTTCTGCTCATGTGCTTGAGCGGATCATTTGGAGACGAGCTGGAAGTAGAATTTTTGCTGCAAGATGAGGACTTGCCTCCAAAACACGACGGTTATTTAACACTAATGAGCTGGAGTCAATTTCAGAAAGAATTTGACGAGACTGAGGGAGGGCCTAAGGTGACGAAAGTAATGCTTGGCGGAAAAATACGACGAGTTACCACTGTTCTTCCAATGCAGATAAGTGATGGCAGGGTCATTCCAATACCTTTTATTATTGACAGCGGCGCTCCAGGACTGATGTACCTTGGAACCGGATCGCTTGGCCGATTAAAGGAATTAAACCTCATTAATAATAAAGCTAGAACTGATGTTTATCAAAACACATTTCATTTAATGGGGACATTTTACAATGAAGCTCGAAGTGCTTTTTTGGCTCAACCAAATGTATCGGAGTTCCCTAGTGAACATGAAGGGGCGTCTGTAAAAGGTGACATTCGCCTAAATTTAATTGGACTGCAAGGAATGGCTATTCTAAAAATTGATGTGACATGGGACTGATCACGTAAATTTTTAATGAAGCACTCTGACAGTGTCATTTTGACAGCTGTGTGTGTTTTTAAAGCCCAACTTTCTGGTAATTTAGTCTTGTAATCAACTTGTTGCAAAAATAGAACAGATTTCTATTTGATCAAAGTAACAGCTAACGACATGTTGCCTAGTGTACTCCAATTTATTTATTATTATTCTTAATTTTTCACCATATAGATGAGTATTATTATTATTATTATTATTATTATTATTATTATTATTATTATTATATTTTTGTACTTTGGTTTTTATACATATTTTAAGAATTTTAGAACTTGCTTATATTTAATACCAGTAAATTTTGCAATTTGATAAAGAGTAACCACACCCAGTGCAGTGGTGTTATAATTATTCCAGTTAACTTACCAGTAACCACGTGGTGTCATCATGGGAAAGACTAGAAGAGTAAGAGAAAGAAAACCAGGGCTCCTGAGAAAACAAATTTATTTTATTTTTGATAGAAAAAGAAGAGAACAGCTCAGTCGGAGGGAGATGACAAACCTAACGCTTCAAAAGTACCAAAGACCTTTATAATGGAGCGTGGGCGTGTGGGTCGACTCCTAAATGAACTAGTATTTGATTTACGGCATGTAATGGAACCAAACACTGCCTCAAATTTAAAAGTAAAACACAACGCACTCAGAAATTTTATATTGCTGAATTTTTGACAGATTTTGTGTCTTGCTTTGTTGCGAAAATAGAAATCGCAAAATTCTGCACTTTTCATTCAATTGTGCTTTTTCGTGTTGTAGTTTAAAGTTACATTTTATGAAATCTTCTTAGAAATGAAGATTCACAAAATTTTAGCAACACAAAGTATTAAAAATATTTTTAGATACATACGTCTGATACATAAAAATTACTAAATGTACCCATATAAAATTATATAAAATTTTTCTTTTTTTCTCAGGCTATGAAGAGAAATACGTTAAAGGATTTTGTTCATGTAGCTGGTCCACTGGGAGTGTCCCACTTTATTCTTATCTCAAGATCTGACGAACACGTTAACCTAAAAATAGCCAAAGTACCAAGAGGACCAACTCTCACCTTCCACATAACACAAGTAAGTAACATTTATTTATAGCTAAGAAATTTAGAGCACTGAAATTTAATTTGAGGTTTGGCTGTTAAAATTTTAAGCATTTGCATACTGTAATTTTGATAAATGGATCATAATTTGCCAAATTTATTAAAATTTTACTCTACAAAATTTGCTAGCTATTTAGTAGATTTTAAGTTTGCTTAAGTAAATTTTATAATTTATAAGGGCGATTAACTTTTTTTTGTTATGATAGTTTTCAACGTCAAGAGAAATTCTCTCGTCCACCTCAAGGCCTCCGCCCATTAGTAGCAACATGTTCATGACTCCGCCCACTGTAAGTTATGGGTGGGGCTAGTTATTAATTAATTTTTACAAACATTCTAGCTAGTTTTAAATAATTTCTCGTCGGAGATGACTAAAGGTGATCCCTCCTCTTTAATGGCAGCCATTTTACAGAGCATGCACCAGACGCTTAATGTGCAGACTGTGAGTTTGTTAATCGATGGGTGTGGTCACTATGGGTGTGGTCTTTTTGTAGGTTAAGCTATCCTCGTTAAAGAGGTGTGTTCTGTGGAATTATGACAATGAAACCGGTAGTGTTGATTTTAGACATTTGTGAGTCTATATGCTTAAAAATTGGGCAAAAGTCCCTGTACTATAGTACATGGTCACTGGCCAAATTTTGCCAAAAATGACTAGGAGAGAATTCTTCATTTTTATAATCTTTTCTGATGCATATACATGTTCTTATGTTGTGTAGAAAGTTTGAGCTGATTCCAACCAAAATTAGATTTTTAAAAAAATTTTAAAGTTACTCAAAAATCGGGCAAAAGTCCCTGTACTATAGTACATGGTCACGGGCCAAATTTTGCCAAAAATGACTAGGAGAGAATTCTTCATTTTTATAAATTTTTCTGATACATATACATGCTCTTATGTTATGTAGCAAGTTTGAGCTGAT